TCTCTCTCTCTCTCTCTCTCTCTCTCTCTCTCTCTCTCTCTTTTATTTTGAAGCAGTTCAGAGGCACAGTGGTGAAGCATGACATGTTATTGAGCCTTGTTTAACTGCTTTCCTCTACATCTCCCAGAATGCTGTGTGCTTCAGTATCAGACTTCAGTGAAAATATCGATGCTCTATTGGATGCACTGCATTTTCTATTGATTATGATCACATGTTTATTGTGGCGGCTGTGGCAGAGTGGTTAAAGGAGTTTTCCCATAACTGAATGGTTGCCGGTTCGATTCCCCGTTCCAGCACGTTGGATGTGAGAAAGAGGAGAAGTTCTGGAAGGATCTAGATGAAGTGATAGAGCATATTCTCAGGGAGGAGAGAGTGATCAGAGCAGACCTGAAAGGACCTGTTGGTGAAGGAAACGAGGAGACGAGGAAGTGATGGACAGGTTAGGWGTCAAGGAAAGGAACCAGGAAGGACAGATGGTGGAAGTTATTGTCAAGAGGATGGAAATGTCTATAGRTAACACCTGTTTCCAATAGACAGAGGGACACCGAGTGGACCTATAAGAGTGGAGGCAGAAGAACAAAGGTACATCACATTCTGTGTGGAAGAGGAAAAGAGACAAATCAGAGAAGACCAGATGGTGGAAGTTAAAGAAAGAATGTTCAGAGAGGAGCTGTTATAAGAGCGATCTTCAGATGACTGCACTGCTGCAGCAGCAGTGATCAGACAGACAGGAAGTACCTGCAGTCCTGTGGACAGAGAACAGAGGATCAGGAAACCTGCTGGAGGTGTCCCTGCCTGATCTGTTCTGGAAGCATGATCCGTCCCCTCAGCTCATTTGCTCATGCGCTAACAGATATACTTCTAGATTACTGGTTAGTCTGCTCAATTTAGGAGAAAATGCTAGAAATAATTATAAAGGTGTGCTAAATTATAATCTGTAATCTATTTTAATATTATACACATTCAAATTATTAAAATATAGATTTACGATGTGTACATGTTTATTTATTAACTTCCCGACCTTAACAGACTAATTTCTAGACAGTGTTGTAATTCATCTCATCTCCATTTTATTTTATTTCCTRGAATAAAAATCCWCATCTGCTGCCAACRCTGCCTTTTCTATGAAACATTACAGGTGACAAAAGACTGAATCCATTCTGTCATCAAGCGGTCCAGCGATGCTACATGYTAAAAACAAACAGCCGGACAGATGGTATTTCTTTTAGCGCATGCACAGAGCTGACAGTGCGATCGGGCAGTGACAGGAGGAACAGAGCAGGAAGTTATCCAGAGGAACGAGTTAGACAAGAAGACATGAGAGACAGAGAGAGGACTGAAGAGACAAAATAAGGAGAGAGGACACAGGGAGGAGGACAGTAAGGGACAGAGGGACTTGTCCTGGCTGGTGAGACAGACATCAGACTGCCAACGACATCATTTAATATGAAAATATATTTATTTTAAAAGAGAAGAAACTGGCTGTATTTATTGAGGTGCTGGATGTCTCTGAGCTGTGCTTTTACACCTTTAGCCTTTAGCTACTATCACTTTAGCTCAGCTTCAGCTTCATCAGTCAGGTGTGGCAGYATTCCCTCTGCAGATTGATATAAAATATAACATCTGCAGTGTTTTCTTATATAACCCTTATTTCTTTCATCAGGACCCAACCTATCTGGAGAAAAGGGATCGTTGTGAGTACCTGAAGAACAAGCTGTCCCACATCAAACAGAAGATCCAGGAGTACAACAAGCCTGCAGGCTAGAGGTCCGCTCTTCATCCCCCCACAAACTGAGACCCTTCAATGATTTATCATGTTATTTTGTAGAAACCGTGATATTTTTAACTTGTGTTTTTCATTGTTTTTTAATAATAATAAAGCTAGCTGTGTGCCTTGCCTTGTTTAGCACAGAGGAGCTGTGAGACACGAGAGGTTAGTGTTGGTTTAATCTCTGCAGTTCAGAACCRTCAGAACTCTGATCAGGAGTGAACAGTCACACGTTCACTTCASTTTGGACACATTTAACAGTAAATCAAGGCTTGTGTCAGAGACCTGATGTGTGACAACGAGCCTAATTCATTTTCTTATAATTATTACGTGTTTTAACTTTGTGCTGAAGCTTTAACTTGTTTTTATAAAGTGTAGGAGGTTTGCATCATGTTTGACTCTCCTCTCATTTGCCTTGCTGCTGGAGGAGTTCATGTGTWTTTTAAAATCTTTTTTATTATTTTTAACGATCCTGTTGTATGCCAATAAAAAAATCCTTTGTGATTTGTGTTTAGTTTGTTATTAAATGTTTGAATCCAACAGTGTGCTGAGAATCTATAGTTCTGTGAGATGTTTCTGTCTATTGTAATTATAAAAACTGTCCAATCATTAATCCTCTGCTGCTTAGAGGTGATGCTGAATGATAGTGACTGTGTTTGTGTGTTTRTGTGTCCATAGTCATGGGATGTACCTCTACTATTAATTAACTTTTGGAGACAATGGCTGCCACAACCAGCTGACCTTACAAATTGATGTATACYTCAGTTTTACAGATATACAAATAAAGTTGTAAGTTTAGCATGGTAGTAGCTGAGACTGATCACTAACACATCTAATGTTATCTGTCAGATCAGGGGTGTCAACTCATTTTCACAGAGGACCACCAACTTGATGATGGTCCTCAAAGGGCTCRTTGTAATTAACTTCAGTGTTTCATGTTTAGCTTTGACAAAACATGAAATGTTCCTCATCTTATTGCTAGGGCTGAACACTACTAACAAACTCTAACTGAGCTCTACCTGGTATTTCCTGCATAGAAACAGTTTGAACATGTTCTAACACAAAAACGTACGACTGACTCAAAGTGAAGTAGATAATACAGAAATACTATTTAAAGTAAAAGAGAATTTTACTGTTTCGATGGTGAGTAGCTGCTGTCTTGAATTCTGAACTCTCCCACTTTCAAACAAGAACTTCCCACTGGAGGGACATCTCAGTTAATGTGCGACTTGTAAGTGGGAAATTCCTACTTCTCATACAACAAGGCTGTAAAAAAGGTTGTGGATAAATTTGCAGCAAAATGGAGATTTTATATGTGAATTTCTCCAACTGCTGGCTCTGATTTGATTTGATTTATTTATTTAACAGGAAAAGATTATTAAAAATCAAGCCTGACTCAGCATAATTGCTGTTTTACAGCAGGTTCCTGTTCTGCAGCACATAAAACACTCAGAA